AGTTGGCCCCGCTTGGTGCCTCCCGTCTGCCTGACTGAGGTCCTAAGGACGTTGAACCAGTTTGGTTGGACACACTTGCTGATATGGCGTAGATCTTGCTCCAATGGTATTTGTGTTGTGAGTTCCTTTGTCCATCCCCCTTCTGCTTAGCCTCCCTCTCCATTCCCTATCTCATACGTTAGGCATTAGCTAACTCTTTTTGCGGCACGATAGCCAGCTGTTAGGTCACGGGAACGACGTCCATCCGCTACTGGGGCTTCAGCCGTCGTGCCTCTGTTGTTTTTTCTTCTTGTCTTTAGTATTGCGACACAATAGCTGAGGTGTTTTCCACTTGCAGCTAACGTGTATAATGATGATGATGACACAAAGAAACCTTTATTATTCACTAATTAGTGCAGTTGAATGATACTTCTCCATTTTGTGGGGACACAGAAGCGCAAACGACGAAAACGGTAGATTTACCCCACTGAGACTTCCACTTTTAGGCATGAACGACACACGGTAACCAACACGTCTAGAATTTAACACGTTACAGTTAACTAGTTAAATAGTTAAATAGTTGAGATAAGAATATGTGGATTGAGTCGTTAGAAAATTTAAGTGCCAAAATGACCAAAATTAGTATGAGCTGTTCACACAAAAGCTGCCCGGACGACAACTGACATTGTGGAAGCCAAAACCTTGACAAACTGCTTATGGAGAATAATTACGCATTCTCTTCACTTCCACGCCCATGCTTCACTTCCAACTGAAGAATAAACTGTCTGTAGATGTCACATTTTTTGTGTGTAACAATATACCTATTTCTGTGGGACAACTTACGTAGGTCGTACCACGAGACATTTGTTTGGACGCTTGCACGCGCATCACCCAGCGTGACTAAGCCGCGATAGTCGCACACCTAACCCTCACAAGTCATCCTGTTGTTATTAAATGAGATTCATCGCAGCCAGTTTCCAAATCAGATAGTCGCCCACATGCCCGAAAAAGCACTAGACTGCAGTTTCAGCCTGTTGGGCATCGCCAGTAGTGCGCATCCTTCGGATCCATCAGGATTCGAACCCATGACCACCAGCGGCTTGAACCGCCAGTCAGCAGCTTATGCCACTGGGCCACGGGGGACAGCTTCGGACCGTCATGATTTGCAAGCTAACTGCCATTTAGCGCGACTATTTGATTTGGAAACTGGCTGCGATGAACCTCACTTAATTACATCAAAATCCCCTACTCATGAGTACATCATCCTGTTGTTATTTCTGAAGCTTTGTGTGTGCTGACCTTCGGGTGCATTTCGGCGGACGTCCGCAACATCGTTCTGAGCTCATTGGCACCAGCCAGCTGGCTAAGCCAGGTGTTCTGAATACGTATCAGACTACGCTGGCATCTGGGCTAAGTGTGCACTGAACACTGTCGAAGATCACTGGTCGCATTTTCGGATCTGGCATTGGTTTGCGAGACTTCGAGAATCAGCACTGAATAGCCGCACTGAAGATGTTGCCTAGTTTGGTAACGAAAAGTCTGCAGCAGAAATGCCCGGCTCGGAGAACAGGATCATAGTCTCATCCACACCCTAAGCTACAGGTATTCTTAATAATTTCTAAAGCCTTTCGCCAGATCTACTGTGTGAGTTGTCCATTCCAAGCTTATCAGATGCCGAATCCTTTCATTGGTGGGTATGATCACGATTCGTCTCAACAATCCATTGGGTGTGCGCATAAACAGTTCGTCTAGGCTTTGGCTTTCCCATAACCATCTGTCGCACGGGCAGCTACCGTGTGAACGAATCGCACCCATTATGATCATCTTGACGCCTTCCTTTTCTCCTTACTGAATACACCCTTTCTTAGTTATTTACATAGGCTGCATTTGGCTTGACAATGAACCATCGAAAAGGAATTTCTTTGTTTTTTGACTGAAACGGAATTAGTCACCATTCGAAATATTACAGCCCGACGGTCACTGCCATATTAATCCTCGACTTTGAAAAGACAAACGTTTAGGAATTCAGCGCAGCGTCATTCAGTAGGTATATTCCACGTTTGGCACTGTAAACCAGTTTGATATAGACACTGCAATTGGTAGAATATAATGGTAAGTCCAATCCACCGGTATTCTCGTTCACAGTTCTTGGGTACCGTGTAGAAAGTGGAACGACTACCGATTTGACGGTCGGTTTTCAGTGGGCTAGAAGGAACCAAGGCTGTTTCCTCGGTTCATTGAGCGTAACTTGAAAGACAGCCCAATTTATTACTTCAGATCAAAACCAAATATACATGTGCGACTGATCGTGTTACGAATACTACCTGAAAGGTGTTTGAACATGTGTTCCGTGAACGACCACCCACAATGCGTCATTGTAGCGCAATAGCTAGGTAAGTAAACATTAAAACTTCTAGCTTCCAGCAGATGGCCTACACTTACTGGCGAAGACAACTCTCTCCACGGGGCGATGTAATTCCCTGCACGTCTAATGAGAAAATCAGTTGACGTTACAGTGTACTTCTGGTGAGTTAAGAGGTCTAAACGGTATTAAAAATTCACCTGTCTACTTAGTTATGATATCATAACGGATCTTGGTCCAGCGAATGCTAATTAATCCGTTTGCAAATATTTTTCTTTTGTGCCAACATGTTTGTGTTTTTGTGGCATGTTCTACGAAAACGAAGCACCGCAAGTCCGTCAATTTCTCGGCTCATCTAACTTATAATTATTGTCAAGTAAACCAACTTGCAATCCACTATGAAACACTGGACAACGCTGGTTTTTTATACAGTAAGCAGTGTTCTCTTCCGTGTTATCAGGCTTTTGTTAAACACTCTACACTTTGATAGCTCGGCGTTCCGTTCTCTCTTTCTCTGTGGAACTGTTCAACCGCCGAAAGCACATCCTAGCGGAATTAGATCACAATGAATGATGCCTCTCTTCCAACTGGCAACTCAAGCGAGGCCTGTGAACTGATCGTAAAGCCTGATTGTTTTAGCGTGCTTCAGAGATTACGATCGCTAGCAACTTCGGCAATACTCCTGATCCCTGCCAATTTATTCTGTCCACCGACTTCAGGAAGTGTGGTGTTAGTGAGGCCACTTAAGAAACGCACTTGGTCCCGGATCACACTAACCAGCTGAGGCGTTTGGGCTACTAGACTGAGTACTTTCGTTTGAAGTTCAACAGTCCACCTGTTGATAGAGTATACTCAGTTGTCTGCCCGGACTAGTCCCTTTGGATCCATCCATCTGTAGTCTAACTTGAGAGTAGACACCTAATTTTTACCAGCATTCAATTCTGTTTCACTGTCCTACTTGGCTTGTACCATATGGTGTGCAATTTGCGTTTTATATGCCTATATGGTGCTGACAGTGTAAGAGGTAGAAATCGCGGGCTCAGCAACTAATGTTGTCAGTGAAATAAGCCATCTTTGAACTAACGTGGGTGTTCACATAAACGCAGGTGTAGATTCGTGAAGCAACTGACGAGCACGGCGTCCGTTTGCTTTGTATAACCTCCCAATTAACACAGGGTATATCATGTAGTATCATAACAGTGCATAGTTGAGTTGTGTTTTAAACATGAGTAGCGTAAATGCATAAATATCATAAACCGTAAGGCGGATCCAGTGTGACTGACAAAATTGGAGGGAAAAAGATGTTCGTTGACTTACAGTGTTGTGCTACACTAATACAGACATCACTGTCTGCAGTACTAAGCTACACACTTGCAGTAGCTTCATTTGAACTTTGTACTGAATCTTTCCCGCCATGCGAGTCCTGTGGGCTAATTAAGGACCACCTTCATACTTTGAGAGCCAAAGTTTAGAAGAACATACGCCATGAACAACACGGATTTTCTTACACAGTTTTAATTTTACATTGATGATAACCCTTTAAAGTGCTTTAGTTATCTTAGAATCCCATGCTGAACTATAATCCGTTCAAATTTCAAATATGGTTGTAACTCTTTACTAGTTGGCTGGGCTCGAACGTTTTGATTGGTTTAGATGGTTTGATGTTCCGGGTCAGAACAAACTAATTCGTTGATAGACACAGTCTGAAAAACTATACTAAACTTTTAGATGTGATATTACTAATTGAGGGTAAGGCATATTTTGAGGATTTTATCAGGACCACAGCAGAAAGTTCTTCATACCTTCCGCCATCATCTAGTGGTAACTATCATCCGTAAACACAATCTCCATCTGTAGAATTAAAAATTTGGGTTATAAGCCCTCTAACATGTTTTGAGTTTAGCTGCTACGCATTGCGGATTAAATCACTCTGATCATACGAAGTTCGGTAGTCATCAATTAATCAGAGGCAGGCAAAGTGTTTACTAGCAGCCGAACGATCCACCCTTGTCGAAAATTTCTTAGTTACCAGTTCATTTTCATGTTGAGGAGAAATTCACCGCTAACATCCAGTTGGTTGGCAGAAACTAGTCTCTGTTTAACAGCATCTGCATTGGAATACAGACTAATTCTGCCTATTATGGATACCGCTGCCGATGGCCCGAAATTTGTAATTATAGTGACTGTAAGTAATTACACAGGGGATTTAAATCTGGGTGCTCTAATAAAAGCTGGGACCACAGCCTAGCAAGCGGCATAGTTTCGGGCAGTATATTTATCTATGGTAGAAGTTCAGAACTGGTATGTTGCTTAGGGCTATCCAAATTATTGCTGCGAGTTGAAAGGGGGTAAGTGAACCATAATTCCCGCTAGTCTCCCAAAATCCTCATAGTTTAATGTGTTAAAACCGGCATTGTAGCTGTGGTTTTGCCGCTTTTTACCGTGTTTGGACAGAAGTTCGCAAGGGCACAATTGTAACCATGCAATCGTTGGCTGTCAATCGTCACACATGCTGATATATCAGATGGCAGCATTTTACTTTTCAGTCTGATTCTATTCCCAAAGGCAATGAGCGATGAAACCACAGAACTAAGTTCATCCATTTTTGTTTATTTTGTACTAAAATCTAACCCGTCCTAATAATCGTTTTCTGTTATAGTACCCCAGGATGAACCACTCACCGTAAAGTTGGTGAATTTATCAGAAGAAAGGTGGACGAATGTGGAGAAGCTCATTGACCGGACATACAAGGTGAAAAGTAATGTCGCTTTGTGGATTAAAGAGAGCTTGGCAACGGTCTTATTTCGGCAGTCAGAACACCGAGGCAGTCATTTCATACCTAGTGGAACGCATGTGCATTCAGTAGATCCAGTTGGTCTGGCGGTACCCTCCGATCGTGGTGCTGTGTCTTGTGAAGCCATTCCCGCGACGTACACAAAAGCACAGATGGAAAGACTCTCCAGCCAGATCACGCGCCGTCAGATCGATTCTCCAAGGTATAAAGAGTATGAAACCATGCGGAATTCAGCAAACAAGGGCGGATTCAAGGATGAGAAAAAAGAAGGTAAGCTATAGCTGGCACATGGCACGTACGTTTACTGTCCCGCCTGTCTACTGTTTTCCTAATGGGTGGTTTTCCCAGGAATTCCTCTTAAGGAACTTCATTTGAAACAAATAACTAGCTGAACTACTCATTCGCACTGATTTTAAGAAATACACCTTTTATTCACGCACACCAACAGGCGAGATCCATCACAGCTACTTCAGGTCCGACAGCGACCGTCTATCTGGTAAATTAGGGTGCAAGAGTTTCCGGTTCTCGGGATTCTCATCATTTCTCATCCCGGTTGCTGTCACTGTCCCATAATACAACGGCCTTATGATCACTGCTTAAAATGGAGGGTCGGGAGCTCTACTTCTTGGGATCTCCTCTTTTTGAGCCATAACAGATGAAAACCCTGCTATCTGGAAGATTACTTCGTGTTTTCTGTTATTCTCGTTACACGTGAAATGTGTGTTCTAAGACCCGCACTTGTTGCGGCCTTTACTCGTTTACTAGGTAGCGGCGGAATGCACACACAACTTAGGGCGCACTGTGGAAATGTTTAAGCAGGTGCTACTTTCCGACTGAAAATTTTCCTCTATGGAGATTTCAGTGTTAGCGCTTTTCTCACTGAAGCTACGTTACAGCATTATGAGGTGCTGTGCTTTGTGATAGCTTCTGTTTCGGCGTGTCCCCAGACGGCTGGTTCATTCAGGATCGCCGTATTTTCCAAAATGTAATTTTGTCTTATTAAGTAGCTTTGGAGCTATTGTGAAATTTTACCCCGTATCGCTATCTAATACAGCACAGAGGACTGCATCCTACGATAATGCACGCTTGCTTCAACTCACCAGGTTCGTTCTGCACTATAACAATGGTAACGATTAGTCAATGTCACCTCCCTGGGCGTTCCTCGTCCCTAAAACAGGGTATGTCAGAAGAAAGACCAAAATAAGCCGTCTAAATGACAGATGACAATTACTATTTTTGAATATGGTTCAATAGACTAAAACCTTCACATTTTCAGAGGCACTGCATAGTAATGTATTTTTTGCAGTGCAGTAGTGCGCATAGAAATGGTCGAGGTGCCGTTCTACTTCACAACCCCTCAATCTGTCATGTTGGTTCCCATAAATCTATCGCATTGTAAACAGCCTAAGCCCTACGAGCGCGAATTCGTGGCTCCCGTCAACTGGTCTGCGCTTGAAGCACAAGAGTCAATCTGTGGCGTTGCACTTTTCATAAAGTTTACGATACTCCCATAGGTTACCTTATTCTGTACATGTGTAGGCTGAGTCCGCCTGACATGATAAGCGTGAACGGCACAGAGTAATCCGTCTGTTTTAACTTCAAACGGGGTTTTAAACCCTATACTTTTACGATCATTTCGGGTGATTTCAGGTAAATAAAAAATAAATAAATAAATATTTATAAAATTTGATACTCTCGGTGTTACGCGTGGCACGTCTACAAAGGCATGAACAAATGTATACAAGCAAATACTCGACGATCAAAAGTTGACCAAATATTTATCTTGACAATGTGACTGAGAAGAAAAGAGAATACCAAGACCTGGTATAAGGATGTGACAAGTTGATTCAGTGTTGAAATGGATTGTTTTTGCGAAGGTAACTGTGTTGCTATGCACGAGAGATGATGCGGAATATTGCCGCAAGTAAATGATGTTCTGGCACGAAACCGACTACTTGAGCGGTTATTCGCAGGTATCTGCCATTCATTCTACATCGTCGATCATACAATGGCGAGGAACTCCTGTGGACGCATTGAGTTTTAATCCTATCCATTTAAGCGAACCGCGCGTCACATGGAAGTAAGTACCGGATTCGCTAAGTATGGACCGTCCAGAGTTGTTGCAAGATAGATCCGGTACAGCGGAAGTGCCTGTGAAAAACTTGGAAAGAGAGGCAGCGGACATCATTCAGTAGTTCAGGAGTGCATAAGGGGAGAAAAAGCATAACTTTACAAGACCCACAGGAAGGATTTTCAAGGAAATAAAAATATAAAAATATTCCAAGGTGGAACGTGAATTCTCAATGGTTAAGCGTTGCACTTTGTCAAACTGTACTATAGCGTTTATCACAAAGATGACAGTCGAAGAGTCTTTCGAATGTCATCATGTCTGGTGCGTTCACCACATATTTTGGTAATGTATTCCAGTGAGAACAGATTGTATGTGAGTAAAAATACTTTCTGCAATTCAGACGGGAGTGTTGTGTCAGTAGTTTCAGGTGGTTGCCTCGGCTTTTTTTGTAAGGGGCTAGGGTCAACAGTGATATACATGGATGCTCGTCTTCAGTTAGTTTCCGGTATGTGAGAATGAGATCCCGGCGAAGCCGTCGGTATTCTGTTGAGAACACACCGAGTACACGAAGACGCAGTTTATAACTTAGATCAGATAGTCCACGCGTTGTCTTTGTGGCTCTCATTTGGGGTTGTTCCAATAGGCGAATGTCTCCTTTTAACCATGGACACCAGACCTGAACTGCATATTCAACGTGAGGACGAATCTACGTGTTAATCAACAATGGTACTAACCGTCGCCCAAATGTACCGAGAGCTCGTCTCAAGTGCCTCAGGTTCAAGTTCCCCACTTTCGCTGCTTTCGAACATTGGAGGGAGTTGGTAGTTCGGTGTTGCTCCTCCCAACCCTGAGACCCCATGACCGGTTTCGTCCTCCTTTGGACTCATCAGATGGAGATACCCTGAGCTGGGGTGGACCTCGAGGTATAGTGTTCAAAGGTTGACGCCCTGACCACTATGGCTCCTAGGTCCGCGAGCAACGTTTGGCACAGCGGTAAAGTATTCCAAGTGGCATTTGGTGTACTCGCTGTGTGGTGGGATTGCGACTCGCAATCTCTATTCAGACCTCGGTCCTAAGTGGACCTCGGTCATTACGATCACAAGGACCGTAACCGAATTGGTGGTTCGGTGTTGCTCCTCCCAACCCTGAGACCCCATGACCGGTTTCGTCCTCCATCTGATGAGTCCAAAGGAGGACGAAACCGGTCATGGGGTCTCAGGGTTGGGAGGAGCAACACCGAACTACCAATTCGGTTACGGTCCTTGTGATCGTAATGACCGAGGTCCACTTAGGACCGAAGTCTGAATAGAGATTTCGAGTCGCAATCCCACCACACAGCGAGTACACCAAATGCCACTTGGAATTGGAGGGAGTTGCTAAAACCTTTTTACACCATGATACTCAACTCGCGTTCGCTAGTCACGTTTTGCAGGACCTGTTGCCCCAAAAGGTATGTGTAGGTGAAGCTGCTGCTCGCCGTCAGCAAGTGGCAATTTACAGGGTTTAGTGGGAGCTGGTTCGTTTCTGCCCATTCGTTAATCCGAGCTACATCGTCCTGAAGACAGACATGCTCGGATGCTGATTGGACTGTTCTCCATATTTTGTCGTCGTCTTCGAATATTTGCATCGGAGAGAGAAGGTCTGCTGGAAGGTCATTAATGTAGACTAAAAACAGTAGCCGGCCGAGGACGGATCCTTGTGGAGAGGCACAGAGTGAGTGTCGGCTACCCTTACCTTGTTTGCTCTGTCGTGTAAGTAGTCTTCCAACCAGGTGAGCAGGAACCCATTGAGACCGTGGACAGCAAGTTTTTAGAAGAGAACGAAGTGATTGGCGCTGTCGAGTGCTTTAGAAAACTCTAAGTAAATCACATCTATGGGGACACCTTCATCAGCCGCTCTGGTCGATGAGTCCCGAGCAAGCAGCAGCTTGATGAGGCAAGATCATCTGCATCTGAAACCATGTTGGGCATTAGAAATTATTTGTTGACTTCAAAGTATCGCGTCAGTTCATCTGCGATTATCGATTCCATCACTTTTGATAAAACAGGAAGGAGAGTAATTGGTCGGTAGTTGGCAGGATCCGATCGCTTACCTCCTTTGTATATTGGAGTGATAATTCCATTTTTCCACTTAGCTTGGAGCTTATGGGAGGCAAGCAGATCCTGGAAAAAGATTGCAAGTGGAACTACTATGGTGGGAGCAAAGGATTTGGGTACTTTTGGGCAGATCTTGTCGATTCCGGAGACACTATTCCCGGAGAGACTGTAATTTGCTTGCAACAGCTGTTGGAGTAAAGGTGACGCTGGATAAGCCAATGACATTGGTTTGGAGTTGATAGGGCGAAGGTTCCATGGTATTTGTAGACACTGAGCCAAACTGCAGGAGTAGAGCGTTCGTGGCATCCACAGCAGTATTTGTTAGACCACCGGCCGTCTTGAGTGGTCGTATTACGGGCGTAACTATTATTTTACCATTCACGTATCTTTATAGTAGTTTGGTGTTACGCGTGAACTTCAGCACCATGGTCTCCTGCCATTCGCACTTGTCGACTCTAATGAGCGACGTGCAGTAGTTTCTTCTTGTTTTGTAATTTTGCTATTTAATATCACATGGGCTTAGTGAATATTGCTCCAGATCTCATTTCTTTTATTGATCCATTTACATGTACTGCTTCGGATCCACGTATTGGTCCGACACGTTGCTCGTAATGGTATAACTTTCCATGCTGATTGTATGACCCAGTTAATTTTATCTTTCAGTTATTCCGCGCGTCATTCGCTGAACTGTGCGTCCGTAGGTCCCAGTCAACGGTTGCTGCTAAGTTGTGCAGCCTAAGATAATCCGTAATAGTTCGTTGAGTTTCTCTTTCTTTATCAACCATACTGGCATAACACCTATAACGAAACGTTGGGACTGAATGGTGGCTACGGCTCAGTGGAGGGTCGTATGCTACTGACCCGATCATCAACTCTTCATTAGTCAGGATTAAGACCCGGATTGATGGCTTGTTTAAACCGCGGTGATTGCTTGGTCGATGCACATGATTATACAAAACTGCAATGTTCATGAATTCAAGTAGTTTCCATTTAAGTGACGGCCCATTAGGAGACACGGATGCCATTGCAATACTTTGAAGTCGTCCATCATAAGATTGTGTGGGTGTGCTTTTGTGAAGCAGCGGAGCGGAGCGCGTGTAACA